CCGTGTGTTTATGAGACAGAAAAAATACTAGCAATACTACCATCATTTAAAACAATTACATGTTTCCGTTTCACAATCACTTGGTGGGACGGTGGTACCTTCCTATATATGTGTGTGTTTGTGTGTAGACGTTTCGCTCTATATAGCAACAAGCTGTACAAGGCAACAGGTTGCCTCGAAGAACTTGTTTGTCTCCAGGGCTTGCTGGGTCCTAAATAACGAGAGATCATCCTTTCATTCATCTACACCTTCCTTTACCCATCTTCCTTCCTTTTCCTCCCTCCTCTTTCCCTCTTGTTTTCTCGCTTTTCTCAGAAGCAAAACATTTTCCTTTTATTTCACATTGTTCAACGTCTTTTGGGCTGGAGGTCAGAGTTGAGTGTTCCTGCTGGCTGCTCACGGCACCCTTGATTGTGGAAGAGTTGGGAATAGTTTGGGAGAGGCGTGAGCGGGCGGATGGACGGATGGGCGGGCGGGATAGAGGAAGTTTGAACAGGCGGGGCCGTATCCAAAACACGTAAGAACGAGTCGAGGACCCAGATTGATCGCGGTGGAGTTACGACCAAACTTCCCCACGGTGAATTACGGCCAGAATTCCAATGGGCAACGTGTCTGAAAATCTTTATAGATGAGGTGTCAACAAATTCTCTGTACTGCCAAAATAAGGACGCCAGAAGCCGGAGATTTTCACGTGAGATGCAATCTTAGACACTCAGCCTTCCAAGATGTTGATGGCTGCATCACGGGAACTAGATGGGTGGATGGCAGGAGCCAGATGGATGGACGACAGGAGCCAGATGGGTGGATAACAGGTTCTGGGAAGTTGGTTGCGAGGTGCAACCAAAGACATGTTGGTAGTGGCACGGGAGCACTTTATCACAGCTGATAAGTGTTACCCTGCTGCCCACCCACCAACCTGCCCGTCCAATGGAAATAAGTCCAATGGAAATAAGTCACTCTGTCTGACTTTTTTGGGTTATCCTAGGTTCTCTACACATATGCTGCTATGTATGATAATTCTATGTAACTGTATTTGTGTATACCTGAATAAACTTACTTACTTACTTACTTACACAGCCCTACTGACTGCCCCCACCCCGCCCTTTCTGTCTGTACCCAGCCCTCTTTCTCCTCCTAGCCTCTCCGCCCCTCACCCGCCCTCTCCCTCTGTCACCCACCTCATTGGGAAAGGCTGCAGACTTAGTAGTAAAGATTTTATTCAAGTTTGGATCTAGGTTCCAACCTTGGATCAAGGAAAGCTAGGAGATATGACCACAACGTTAAAGATACTCGCCCCGGAAAGACCACTTCCCACGGGTCTTAAAATTTGATGACCCGTTCAATGGTGCCACTCATATTTGTTCGACCAAAAGCTCCAGCTGTGGGTCATCGTATGATGAAAACCCGCGTCAAGAAGCACTTGTCCTGTTTCCTGACAAACATTATCTAACCTCAGTCTGTGTGGTCTGGACGAGAGACACCGAGACAAGAGGAGACAACACTGAGGCAGCTGGAATATTAACGTTGAAATGAGGTGAAGGAACACCAGACAATAGTACTCCAGTGTGAGAGGTAGCCAGGAAATACAAGACAATAAAGGTGCTATATTGGACTCGCCCTGCTTCAGAATCAGATGGAAAAACATGCGCAATATCTGGGGATCATTATTGTTACGATACTTTGCCATCCAGTGACTTCTTCAGTTCAGTCGAGATTATAAACTTGACACAGTGGAAGGTAAGGTAATCAGTCCGTCAATCATAATAGAAGGTTAGCCTCGTAGCCTGGATTAATCAGGAGAATGAACGTTTTTATATACTGGAGCCAGAATAGAGATACAATAGTTGAAGGCAAAGTCGTAGGTGGGTGTGAACAACTAGTGGGTCCCGCCCACTTGTTAAATACACCAAATCCTAGAAATGGCCAAGAGCTAGGGATAACCCCATGTAGACACAACTAGGGGTACACACACACACACAACGTGCACAACCAGGAGCTGCGACTCGACCCTTTCAACAACAAACAGGTGAGTACATACACAAAGCGCACCTCCACTGGTGCATATATAATTTTGTTGTTGTTATCAGGCAAGTTATTATGGCGGCTGAGCGTGTTTGTTTTATTTATCCGTATTTCTCTTGTCTGTGTTTGTTTGTTAACGCTCTGACGCTTCTGATGTTGCCTGCAAATTCACCTGTTTTTAACATGTTAAGTTTGCACTCTAGGTAGGAAGGGAGGGGGGGAGGAGTGTTGTAGGTAATGTGACACAGACACCTGGTTCTCCTACCAGGTGCACCAGGGTGTTGTACGTGTGACACCTGGTTCTCCTACCAGGTGCACCAGGGTGTTGTACGTGTGACACCTGGTTCTCCTACCAGGTGCACCAGGGTGTTGTACGTGTGGCATCTGGTTCTCCTACCAGGTGCACCAGGGTGTTGTACGTGTGACACCTGGTTCTCCTACCAGGTGCACCAGGGTGTTGTACGTGTGACACCTGGTTCTCCTACCAGGTGCACCAGGGTGTTGTACGTGTGACACCTGGTTCTCCTACCGGGTGCACCAGGGTGTTGTACGTGTGACACCTGGTTCTCCTACCAGGTGCACCAGGGTGTTGTACGTGTGGCACCTGGTTTTCGCACCAGGGTGATGTACGTCAAGATATGAACGTTACATATGTTTTCTTGGTCACTTTAGTGTCGGACTGAGGCTACACTTTGTGTGATGAATAAGATGTGTACAACACCTGGGTGTCCTTATTAACGTAGTGATTACTACCTCAGACAGTGACTGTACCAGGAGCTGGTGTTTACTACCTCAGACAGTGACTGTACCAGTAGCTGGTATTTACCACCTCAGACAGTAACTGTACCAGGAGCTGGTGTTTACTACCTCAGACAGTGACTGTACCAGGAGCTGGTGTTTACCACCTCAGACAGTGACTGTACCAGGAGCTGGTGTTTACTACCTCAGACAGTGACTGTACCAGGAGCTGGTGTTTACCACCTCAGACAGTGACTGTACCAGGAGCTGGTGTTTACTACCTCAGACAGTGACTGTACCAGGAGCTGGTGTTTACCACCTCAGACAGTGACTGTACCAGGAGCTAGTGTTTACCACCTCAGACAGTGACTGTACCAGGAGCTGGTATTTACCACCTCAGACAGTGACTGTACCAGGAGCTGGTATTTACTACCTCAGACATTGACTGTACCAGGAGCTGGTGTTTACCACCTCAGACAGTGACTGTACCAGGAGCTGGTGTTTACCACCTCAGACAGTGACTGTACCAGGAGCTGGTGTTTACCACCTCAGACAGTGACTGTACCAGGAGCTGGTATTTACCACCTAAAAATTTCACCTCTCCTGTTTCCTTACTGTCATGTTTACACCTGTGTGTGTGTGTGTGTGTGTGTGTGTGTGTGTGTGTGTGTGTGTGTGTGTGTGTGTGTGTGTGTGTGTGTGTGTGTGTGTGTGTGTGTGTACTCACCTATTTGTACTCACCTATTTGTGGTTGCAGGGGTCGAGTCTTAGCTCCTGGCCCCGCCTCTTCACCGGTTGCTACTGGGCCCCCTCTCTCCCCGCTCCATGTGTGTGTGTGTGTATATATATATATATATATTATATATATATATATATATATATATATATATATATATATATATATATATATATATATATATATATATATATATAATTTGTGAACTTGTATGAAAAAATCAATATTTATAAATTAATTTTGTATTTTTTAAATGGAAATAGGATAACTTAAGGTTTTTCTTTGGACGCCATTTGAATTTTAAATCATACTAAAACATTTACCATCACTTGTTCTTCAGCTGTATTTCCAGAATGACACAAACATTATCATTCATTGATGATGAACTTAACCCTTAATAACATTGATGATGTTTGTGTCACCTGACTTACAACGTGCAGGCACAGTACTTCCTCTACAACTAAAGTCTGACTGATAGAGGCTTAGCTTCTGGGTGAAAATGTTTTCCTGAGAGCCTGCCGGCTTATTAGGAGGAAGTTGTAAGGGTCTGCCATGTTGCTGTATTTAAACGTGTTGTGTGTCCCTGAGGATGAGAGTAGCACTATCTTCAGAGTCACGGTATTGGCCATTTGTAGAGGAGCACCTGTAGTTGGATTTTTTCTGCTTATTATCCATTGCGAGGAGCACGGTGACTGCGTCTGGACGCTTCTGGCTGCCATCACATCTGCATAACAGGTTGCTTGCCTTGTGCTGCCCACCGAGCTCTGACGTGGCCTCTGTTAATGATATTGCTAACTTGTTGCTGGCTTGCATTCTTTTCCTGTGTTTTATGGTAGATGAGACCATTGAGGCAGCTACACTTGTGTTGGGTCAGGATAGTAGTGGCGAGGGAGAGAACAAATGTTCTGAGAGTCGAACCTTTGATGTTTGTGAAAGGTGCTTGATCTAAGAAACTGGAGTTGATTTGTCCTATTTTTGTATCTAGTTTGATTGCCTTCAGTTACGTAGGGTGAGATGAGTGTACGGGGAGGAGTTTGGGCAGGAGTTACCAGGGCCAGGAGACGAAGTGTCTAACACACTCAGGCATGGTAGAGCAGTCTTCATTGTAGTACCACTCTAGTGGGAATATTGTTTATAGTGTTCCTAAAACTGTCTGCAGCAGACAGTGAGGATGTGTTGCAGGATTAGCCGGAAGCCATAAAAGAAGCTTTGAAGTACTCACTGAAGAGATGGTTGGAACTCTGACAAGCCGGTGCTAAAGCCACTGGCTTGAACAATCCTTCACTCGACCAGTTGTTTACAGTCGAGGCATAACCATTTATGTATGCCAGCTAGGCATGTTAGGTAATACAATCTTTCTGTATTATGCTATTTACTTCTTCCATTGCACTCCCACACACCCCTCTCACCTCATTCACCCTCTCATTCCTCCGCCTATCTTACCTTCCCCCGCCTATCTTACCTTCCCCCGCCTATCTTACCTTCCCCATTCCATCCACCCTGCTAATCTTTCTCTTCTCCCGCAGATACTGACGACAGCGATATGGAAGGGACGCTTTCCAACCTCTCCCGCCAGGTGATGCGGCCTCCAGGGTGCTCCGGCAAGGCCAAGCGAGGCCACCTCTGCTTCGACGCCTCCTTCGAGACAGGTGAGGCCAGAGTGTGGTGCCTGTGGAGTCCTGCAGGTAACGGACAGCAATAATGTCGTTGATCGGGTAACCACGAAGAAAGGCTGGCTTCATGCCGGGATAATAGGGTAAGAGGGAGCGAGGGGAAAGAGGAGGTAGATGCATTTTTTACAAATAATATTAATTAGGTACACTGAATATCCTTTACCCAACACTTCAATGCTTCCAGCAGGACTGGAGTGTTATCTTACCCAGGATACAACATCCCAGCAGGACTGGAGTGTTCTAACAGTTTTTTCCATAGATGCGACCCACAACAGTGGGCTAAACGCAGGTACGTATTTTTACTGCTAGGTGGAGAGGCAGCCGAAGGGAGAGAAAACTTGGTTTTATGTTTCACTGTGTGTGTGTGTGTGTGTGTGTGTGTGTGTGTGGATGGATAGGGGGGGGAGGAGGGAGAATAATTGTAGCACACACGAATGGTATACAATTAACCGAGGACAATATCAGCACTAATAATGGTTGTCAGTTAACACGGGGTAATGCCACCAACAATACTGCTGGCAACAATAACACACTGTTGTAGCCACATTACACGAGATGTATTGCACACACACCAAGAGGCAAACTATTACCTTCTCTCACATATTGCTCACACAGATCGGGGTCTGCATCTCTTAGAATACATGTGGGTCATTCAGCGGAAGGATAAACGAGGGCTCAATCCTTCGTCAGCTCGCTGCGGCAGTCTGAGGTTATCCAGGATGTTGGTTAATGCAATACATAGGGCCAGCACCGAGAAGTTTTTCTGGAAATACACTTCCCTCTCTCTACATGGAATGACAACACAGTAAATTGTATCTTACGAATCTGTTAGAGTTGCCACAAAGTATTGAAAACGAAGCTTTGGAGAGGGATGTCTAGACTACATCTTCCAGACTGTAAGACAGCATTTGACAGTGTAACGTCCGAGGCTAGTAAAAGACTCATGCTTTGAGGAACCTTAACAAAACATTTAATTAAGACATTATATGCTACTTATGTTCATGTGTGAGTATGCAGAGCCAGCATGAAACCCGCACCTGGCCAAGCATATTCAGTAGCACGAGAAGAATCAAACGTTAGTCACTAGACATGGTAGCAAGACTGAAGGGAATGAACTACGAGGAGAAACTTAGGAGACGCCCAGACCTCTGCAACACAATTGTCATCAAAGAGTTATTAAGTTATAGCGTGAATTAAGGAAAGATCCTGGACTTCACCTTACGAAACAGACAAAGAAAATGTGATAGTAATTATGGAAAAGGTAGATTATAGTGGAAAAATGAACATGTTATTAGAAGACAGGGAAACTTAAGTGCCCCTTAAGGAACTCATCCTAACAATACTACAAGATAGGAGACCAGCAGCTGATGATTATAACAGAAAATACTCGGGTGCTAGATAGTGGGTAAGAGAGGCAGCCTGCTAGAGATGACTCATGACACACAGATGCCAGTGAAAGGAAGATGAGCAACATGGACGTAAAGACACACGGGACCAGGAGCTGCGACTTGACCCCTGCAACCACAAATAGGTGAACACACACAAGAAAGGTTAAGGGAAATCGACCTGACGACACTGGAGGACAGGAGGGTTAGGGGAGACATGATAACGACATACAAAATACTGCGTAGAATAGACAAGGTGGACAGAGACAGGATGTTCCAGAGATGGGACAAAGGAACAAGGGGTCGCATTTGGAAGTTGAAGACTCAGATGAGTCAAAGGGATGTTAGGAAGTATTTCTTTAGTCATACAGTAGTCAGGAAGTGGAATAGCCTAGCATGTGAGGTAGTGGAGGCAGTAACTATACATAGCTTTAAGATGAGGTATGATAAAGCTCATGGAGCAGGGAGAGAGGATCTAGTAGCACTCAGTGAAGAGGCGGGGCCAGAAGCTGAGTCTCGATCCCTGCAACCACAATTAGGTGAGTACACACACACACACACACACACACACACACACACACACACACACACACACACACACACACACACACACACACACACGCACGCGCGCGAGAGAGAGAGAGAGAGAGAGAGAGCGCGCCTCCTTCCTAAAACAAACTTTGCCTCGTCCTCATAATTAGTTTTTAAGTTTATAATCGACGACACACCATGCAATAGCCACAGAAGCGGCAACACCATCAGACGCATCAGCCACAGCCGCAATTCTCCCACCGTTCTCTAGTCTGATTTCTGTCATGCGCCGTGTGTGTGTGTCAGGGGTGTGGGGCACGATGTGCCCCGAGTGTGTCAGGGGTGTGGGGCACAATGTTTCCTTGTAAGACACACTGCGGGTTATGGCATTTTATCACGAATTTCGTCCACCAGGAAATAGTCTCTGGTGGATGAAACGTCTTGCCAGTAAAATGCCACGACCTACATTATGTCTTGATGTTGTCGGTATACTCTACACTGAAAGTCGATAACCATAATGTTTAAAGGGGTGGACCGGTAAGCCAGCAGAAGGCCTTGGTCAGATGACAAAACTCCAGCTGAGAGTCATTATATGACCAAGACTCGCGTCAGGAAACACTTGCCCTGTTTCCTGATAAATCTTACCTAACCTAACTCTACCATTCCACAGCCTTTATGTTCTTGTTCTCAAACTGATTCACATCTCTTAAGTGGGTCCATAACCTCGCCTGCCATGGTAGTCAGGAATATTGTTTATAGATCTATGTGTGTGGGGGGGGGGGGGTTCTTGAAAACTGAACTTCACTAGTCACCGTCCAAGTGTCTGGAAGACTTCCTCTCTCTCCTGTCTTTCACTGTAGACTCTTACATAGTGTTTCTTACATGTGTATACTCTGAATAAGAGTGTTGCACTTCCAATAATATCGAGGATGAAGAATTAGACGCATGTGCAACATGCGTCTTTATTTGTAGACGTTTCGCCATCCAGTGGCTTTATCAATACAAATTCAAGGACATACTTAGAAGATTGTAGAACTACATACAAAAAGATGAGGTAATCAGTCCCTCAGTCTTGGAGTTGTGAAGACCACCGTAGTCTTGGAGAATACGGTACTCGTCACCGTAGTCTTGGAGAATACGGTACTCGTCACCGTAGTCTTGGAGAATACGGTACTCGTCACCGTAGTCTTGGAGAATACGGTACTCATCACCGTAGTCTTGGAGAATACGGTACTCGTCACCGTAGTCTTGGAGAATACGGTACTCGTCACCGTAGTCTTGGAGAATACGGTACTCGTCACCGTAGGTTCTTGGAGAATACGGTACTCGTCACCGTAGTCTTGGAGAATACGGTACTCGTCACCGTAGTCTTGGAGAATACGGTACTCGTCACCGTAGTCTTGAATACGGTACTCGTCACCGTAGTCTTGGAGAATACGGTACTCGTCACCGTAGTCTTGAAGAATACGGTACTCGTCACCGTAGTCTTCAAGACAACATTTTTCGTCTGGTACTCAGCTGATTCTGGAAATGCTTCCAAACCTGTTTAAGTTCTTACATACATTTTTGTGCAAAACAACCACTGAAAAAAAGTAGTGAAATTCCAAGCTCTTTCGTGATTTCTCACATTATCAAGGACCTGAATATTGTTTGCATATTGTAATATTACCTGTTTACTGTGATCTTATTGCACACATTGTTGTGTACAAGAGAGATGTACATGCGAGTACATGGTAATGACAGACAGCAGAGGACTTGGACGTCCATATCAAGGCTGTCTGCTAGGAGGAACTATGTACTTCTACCTAGATTAAGAACTGTTGTGTATTATCTAGGTGTACGAGTCAGGGATGAAGAAAGAGAGAGAGTAATGTGGTCACGGAGTGAAGTTCGTCATATGCCAGCGAGGGGCCGCCGTGCCAAGGGAGGGGAGGTACCGTGCCCAGGGAAGGGGCACCGTGCCCACCACCTCCGCTATATTCTCACTGGCTAAATTATCCCCACGTAAAGTCAGCCACCGATTTATGGTCAAAGTTGTGATCCTCGTGATTTCCAACTTTTTTTTCCCCGTCTCTCAAGTTGTGCGGCTAACAAGAGTGGAACCATGTATGGTTCTCTCCTCCTCCCCTCTTTTTCACCTCTCTAACCTTCCTCCTCCTCCTCCTCCTGACTACCCTACTCCATCTCTCCCTTTTTCTCCCTTCCTTTACCTTCCGTTCCTCACTCCATCGCTCCCTCCCACCCCCCATTCCCCTCTCTCCATCTTTGCCACCATCCTCCGTCATTTACCTCTTTCCCATCTTCTCTCATCACCACAACCTCTCTCCTCAATCCCTCACTGTCTCTCTTCCCACTCTCTTCATTTCCGTTTCATCTAATCTGTGTGTGTGTGTGTGTGTGTGTGTGTGTGTCCTACATTCACACTGTACTTGACAGTGTTGGGGGAGGAGCAGCGTATAGGAATTCATTATTTGTGACTGCAGTTATGAGGGAGGAGGGAAATAACTTAACCCCATTAGGTAGGGATAAGGGTTAAAGGAGTCCCATTAGGTAATGGAGTGGGGGTAGACTGGGCCCCTCCCAGTTAGGAGCGTCACCCTGCCATAATTCTGGGTAGGTAGTCCCCTGGGCAAGTCCCTCATTGTCCACGCTAGCTAGGGTACAGTTTAGTTCAGTAATTCCACGGAGATGGCAGCACTACTGTACCCCGACGAGCCTCGTTCCCTCCAATTTAAAACACAATTACATTCCGGGGTCTGGGTTTCCCCCCTTATTATTTAACTTGATTATTGCACTTCTATTGATGCTATTTTTCCGCTGTCAATTTTTTCCCCTCGCAGAACGGATAAGAGGGAAAAAAAGCAATGTTTCTGGTATGGCCGTGTACACTGTGAAAGATACACGGGTCCTTGTATACATCCAACAGTGTGAGAAATACACCAACCTGCAGCTGTGTGTAACCCACCAACCTGCAGCTGTGTGTAACCCACCAACCTGCAGCTGTGTGTAACCCACCAACCTGCAGCAGTGTGTAACCCACCAACCTGCAGCAGTGTCTAA